CGTTTTTTGTTTGTTTGTTTGTTTGTTTGTTTTGGTTTTTCAAGACAGGGTTTCTCTGTGTAGCCCTGGCTGTCCTGAAACTCACTCTGTAGACCAGGCTGGCCTCGAACTCAAAAATCTGCCTGCTTCTGTCTCCCAAGTGCTGGGATTAAAGGTGTGTGCCACCACTGCCTGGCACTCTCAACCATTTGTAACACTACCTGGGCCCTCTGGACCCCGTCAGGCATATGAGATCCCCACAATATCCACTCCCTAGGACCCAGAGCCAAAATTGCACCCATCCTATAGAGAGAATTGTGGAATTTTGGTTTCTTAAAACAAACAAATAAACAAACAAACACAGAAATATTACAAGAATGTGTTTTCATGTTAACCCCAGGTGTGGGATGTGGGGCTACTTCAGGCTGTCCACAGCAGCTGACTGTGATTTGTCTCATGCTCTAGCAGAGGCGTGGTTTTGCCAGCTGCAGGTAGTTTCTGGGAGTGTGTGATGTTGGGGACTCTGGGAACCTTTCAGAGGGTATACACATGCTAGGGCCCCAAAAGGTGAGTGGATGGTTGTTGGTCGCTCAGGGTGATTGTTAGTAGTCAGGTTTGAAGGAGAAATTAGATTCAGGGACCATCCCCCCATTCCTTCGTTCTCTCCTATCTAGTCATAGAGAGTGAAACTGGTGGGGGGAGATAAAGCATGGGAAAAGTAGCAAAGACCAGAAGCACGGCCCTCTCCACAAGCTGCAGAGACAGGAGTAAGGGGCTACACTGCCTTGGTTTACCTGATGTGCAGAAGGCCACCCTGGGCTACAGAAGAGTAGGTAGCTGCTATTCTGTGTGTGGTAGGGACTTTCTCTCTGACCTTTTTGCACACCGGGTACAGTGACCCCACCCTTGTCATGGTGAGTCACCACCATAAAGACCCAGATCTGCAGCCTTCCCAGGACCCTCACCCTGCCTGTCCTGCCTGTCACTGTGCTTTTGAGCCTCCATGGGTGGGGGGACTTCTGGAAAAGGCAAAGGAGCAGCTTTCCTCCAGGCTCTGTGCTGTCACTTTCGAAATGTCGCAGGACCTTGCCCCATCCCGGCCACCACCCCTTTCAGTTTCCCTCCATACTGGATTTCCACTGGGGACAGGATGGGGCCAGTCTGATGAGAGACCTTTAAGTGTGCTTACCACAGACTAGCAGCACATGGATGTGGGAGGTGCAAGTCTGGAGGCAACAGCCTACAAGCGCCCCCTGGGGACAAGGCAGCAGGGTCTAAGGACAAGAGATGGGGTGAAGAGTGGACAAGCCAGACAGAGGCAGATCTGAAGCCACCTAGAAGTGCTGTATCTGACCCACGACCCATCTCCTCTGTGGTCAGTGTGGATACACAGTGGCCAGCATACAGAAGATCTCTGCTGTCCCAGAGCCTCAGCACACAGCCCCAGGCCTAGTGGGCTGTTTGTCATAGACCAGAAGGACCGTCTCTGTCCCTTTGACCACACAGGGTCCACTACTGGGAGCAAGAGGGACAAGAGCTGACACCAGGGCCACCTCGAATCACTGTTGGTACACAGCCCTTTCACAACTGCCAGCAAAAAGCCCCACCACAGCAATCTGGGTCTGGCTCCTGGAAGCTGTCCTCTGAAGACAGAGCTGAGCTGTGGCCATAGGTCCACTGTGCCTGCCCTTGTCCAAGGTTCCCAGCCATTCTCCAGTGTCCCTGATGTGAGTTGGATAGGGGCCAGACCTATGGCCCATTCCCAACCTTGTAATCACACCCGTGGGCTTTAGAGGTGCACAACCCGCCTCGCTTTGGAAAACAATGCCCATGTATCAAGTTCATCTGCAGAGTTTCCAACGTACTAAGTCATTCAAATTATTACCTCTATGTAGCTCTAGAACATGTCACCCCCCTTCCCAAAGAAAGGCCTGTCACCTCATCCCAACCTCCCTGCTGCAGGCCCTACAAACCCTCCTCCTGTCCTGGATCCTCCCCACCTCGGGGAGTGTGACCTTCTGTGTCTGGATCTCTGAACATGATGTCCTTGAGGTGTCCCCACACTGTCCTGAGCACAAAGACGAAAGTCTCAGCTAGAGAGTCCTGGGTCTGTAATCCCCTAAATCACAGCCAAAAGAGGTGCTCAGCTCTCCCAGGGAGGAAGCAGGACAACAAGAGAGGTGGCACCCACTGTCAACAATGGTCCTAAAGGAAGTCAACTCCATGCCCCAAGCCCTTGCAGGCTGCAGACTTGGCCCTCCAGGGCTGGGATAGCTCCATCTGGGAGTGTGCAGGGACAGGCTAGAATAAACTGGGTGACTTTCTCTCAGGCTGTACCCCATGGCCCTCACCTTGTTCCCATAAGGCCCTTAGTTATGGAAGCAATGACTGGAGCTGCAGACTGTGCACAAACATGTGAGCCTCGTGTGCACGCACACGCACACACACAGCACAGACTTGAGTGTGCTCACACAATCCAGTGGCTCGTACACATCGACACAGGGCTGGGGCCATGTTGGTAACGTGAGATGTGGACCTCCACCCGCATGCAAACCTCCCCCTCTCAACCTCAGATTATGTCACACATATTCTTAGCAGGGAAGCCGTCAATCTCACCCTGAGGGGTTCTGGGGGAGCACCAGGGACAGTCACCTCTTTATTCTGCTTCTGGGCCAGTGTTCCTGCTGGCCCTGCTCAAGGGGCCCTGGTGTATGAAGTCAGGACTGCACAGGCAGGCGTGAGCTCTCCATGCCTCAGCTCCCTCTTATGTCCCTCCACCTACTTCCACCCAGGGGAGGAAACTGCCACTGGTGGGGCCAGGCCGCCCATTCCAGTGTGTGCCTCAGTTTCTCCTTAAAGGTAGGAGCAGAGCAGAGGTCTGCCAGGATCAACTGATAACCACAGAGGTGCCTCTATTGCTGTCATACTCAGGACTGGGCTGGCAGGCCCCTGCCTTCATCATTCCCAATTGGAAAGAGCCTCAGCAACCCACCGCCAGGAGCCAGCCCCTGGGAAAACCCAAAGCTGGGCCCAAGGGCTCTGGAGAAGGGCTAGGAGCGGCTGGGGGTTCAGCTAGCCAGGCCTTCCAGAAACAGATTCCAGCCACTGACTGCTATTGAATCAGGTCTGGCCCCCTACCACCTGGCCTGGATCTGAGGTATGGTGTCTTTGTAGCTACCAGGTTATGCTCCTTGTCCCTTCAAATGTCCCCAGTCCCACACAGCAGAGCTCTATGCCGATCCGATGGCAATCATGCCAGGTTCCAGGCAACACCTCATCTAGCAGGGGTTCACTGGGGTCCCAGCTCAGCTTAGCACCTTAGGGCCCTTCACCACATTGGAAAACTCACCACTCGCCAAACTGCTAGCAATCATGCCATCCCAAGGCCAGGCACCCTGTCGCTCCCCACTCACAGGGTGCAGTAGCTGGCACCAGACAGCCAAGGCAGGAAGGCCGCTCCCGAGCAGGCGGGACTCACAGGCATTCCGGGAAGCAGAGCCGGGGGATGTCCCAGCCACTTGACACACTCATGCCTTTTTCTTTTTTTTTTTTAACTTTTCAGAGTGTTAATCCTGCCATCTGAGGAGACGCCCTGAGATCCCTCCTTACCACCAGGCTCGCTCAGCTGTCCCTCTGGTGCGTCTCTCACCACTCTCTCACACTTAGCTCCCAAGTGTCTTGGTTTTAAAGTCACTCTCTATACATTCCCCCAACCCAAACCAGAAAAGCAGGACGTGGTGAGGGACGTGCCTGGGACCAGTGGTGGAGCCAGGCCTGGGTATCCACACAGGAAACCCAGTGAGAAGATTCCTCCTGGATAGCCAGGGTTCCTGAGAACCCCAACAAGGAGGCCACCAAATGGGGTAGGAAGGGACAAAAGTACCTCAGGGGGTGCCAGAGGCAAAGACCACCAGAAAAAGAAAGAGATCAAAGAGAACACTGAACAGGAGTTGATAGAAAACAACAGAAAACAAAGCTTAGAGGTCATGACGGAGCCTGGGGTCAAGGGATCATGGCACAAGATGGGGCTTGGGATTCCCTCCCAGGACCAGGGTCAAGGGCAGGAGTCATGGGGAAGGCAGTGCTCAAGGGTCCCAGGGAGCAACCAGAGTTTCAGGAGACGGAAGGGCCTGAGTCACTAGCAGAACGGGGTCCCCGGGGTGAGGTTAAGGTTCAACTGTGGACAGAAAGTAGTGGTCGGTTAGGGTCAAGGTTCAAAGTAGACTATTGGGGATTAGAGGTGCAGGAAAAAATAAGGGGTACTTCCCAGGACCCAGCATCAGGGTCAAGGCCAGTAGTGACAGGCTGTGGTCAAGATTCCCAGGGAAGGAAGGGTTCTCATCACCAGAGGCAGGAATCCGGGTCAGCCAAAAGGAAGGGGGGGGGGGTCATAGAAAACTGGGGTCAGTGTCAAAGATGAACAGTGGAGGTCGCAATAGGAGTCAGGATTCCCAGAGACAAGGGTCAAAGCGGGAGTGGGAGGTACGGGGATGGAGGAGTTCACATGGAGAATAGCCGTGGGGCTTGCTGGCTGGGGGCAGGGGCAGGGGTCGCAGCTGGACGTGGGGTCAGGACTAGTGGAGCAAGATCGAGCCTGAGGTCCACGCGGAAGGTGGGGTCTCGTCTCACAGAGAGAGATGGGGCGAATAGGGGTCGTGACCGCGGCAGGGTCAGGGGGTCGCCGGGAGGGTCAGAGGTCGCGGTGCGGCACTCT